TGTGATTACCAAATTATTCTCCACATTGCTAATAATCTATTAGGGTTCCGATTTGATTTTCTCCCCTTTTTTATTATATCCTTAAAAAATATTTATTGTGGCCTCAATGAAAGGCTCTGATGCCATATACGAATGCACAATATATATATATATATATATATATATTTCACACCCTTACAAGTATTATATAATAGGAGCCTGTGACACTTTGTTATAATGAAAAACTATTATCTAAGAGTATGGATAGTTTTTTAAACAGATAATATTGTTTACCACCACTACCGAGGCACCACCCGCTGTGGCCGTCAGCCAAGTTGGCTAAAATTAAGCCGATTGACAGTGATATGTTCGGCAATGTAAAGTGGTTTGGAGGTGGTGATTAGTAGTTCAACGGCGATGCTTAAAAATTAAGTAAAACTATAGGGATCATATGCGCTTACGAGTGTCTATAATATTAAAATGTAAAAGAAAATGTATAGTGATATGAACTAAAAGAAAAAAAAAATGAATACACTTAATTGAAAGAAACAAAAATCGTAGAATTAGAACTTTGAAGGAGAGTTTAGTCTTCATAAACCTTTTAGTATCTATAGTATATTATACTAAGAAAGAAACTAGAGAGAGAAAATCAAACTTCTCCTCTCGTTGACACAAAGGAAAAAATCCTATGTGTCATTTTCCTATAGGTTGACACAAAAAATATTTACAACAATTACACTAATTGTCCTTTAAATTTTCAGTTAATAAATTGTTATCAATTCTTAATTAAAGCATATCAATAAATTCTATGGTAAACTTTCTATTTTGCATTCCCTAAAATGAAAAAAGAAAATGGAAAATTTTTAAAATTTTGACATTAAATAAGATTGATTTGAAACAGATTATCTGATTGGCATGAATAATGGCATTACGTCTTGATTTGATCATTAAACAATATTAATGATTATTTGAAATTAAAAAGTAATAAATACAAAATCATCAGTGATTCTTTAATTTAACATTAAATTTGATTATTTGAAATTTTTTTTCGATTGGCTTGAATAATGCTATTACATTTTGTTTTGATTTTTAAATATTATTAATGCTTTTTTGAAATTCAAAAATAATAAATATATTATTAGTGATTCTTTAATTCAACATTAAAGCTGATTGATTTGAAAAGATTTTCTGAATGGCTTGAATAATGCCATTACATATTGTTTTGATCATTAAACAATATTAATGCTTTTTTGAAATTCGAAATAATTAAGAAAATTGTGGATAATATTTTTTTAGAGGTGTATCATGTGTCATAATTGCATAAACGAAAATCCATTCACTTCATTTTGACAAAATTAAATATAAACATCTGAATAAAATCATTCAAATTGCATTAATCATGTGACTAAAATTATTATATGTATATAAAGTGTGTTTATAAGACTCAACTTGTTTGCAATCCCAGTTTACACCAGAATCTTCTCTTCTTCTTCTTCTTCTTCTTCTTCTTCTTCTTCTTCTTCTTCTTCTTCTTCTTCTTCTTCTTCTTCTCTCTCTCTCTCTCTCTCTCTCTCTCTCTCTCTCTCTCTCTCTCTCTCTCTCTCTCTCTCTCTCTCTCTGTGTGTGTGTGTGTGTGTGTTGAATTTATGTTTTTCTTTTTAATAATCATTATTTTTTGGTGTCAAAAAGTTTTTTGCTTCTAACTTTTGCAAGATGTGGGCAAATATTTTTCTGCAGCAAGTATTTTCAACTACACATCCATGGTGAGTTTCTTTGCTAATCTTAATTAATGATTTCAATGTTTGATTTTTTTTGGGACAACATGGTGAAATATATGATGATGTTTCGCGAAAATAAAATTAGATGGTACAGTGATAGGTAGACCCATTTAACTGTCATGTATTAATATGAAACCTTTCCTTCAATTTTTTTTTTAAAAATTATTTTACCTTGTGATGTAATTTATTTCTTTGGAGCATCTTAGAGAAATGAATTAGAGATGGCATGGTAGTTCTGGAGATCAGTTGTCCGGGATGTGACCTATGGGACTGTTGCCTAAGCGTGGCCATATTATCCAATTTGGCTCATACGTCCGAAGGTGACTTTGAAGTCTGAATCATCTCATTGAATTCTAATGCTTTGTTTGGGATGGTACAATATCATAAACAACAAGATTGGTCAAAGATGTCAAATTGTAAATACAAAATATATCTAACATATATATCAATGGATCCCTTTATTTTCTTCTGTAAATAAGTAACATTATTTAATTTAGCGTTTTAAATTGTATATCAATTTACTAAAATATAAAATATTTCTTTAATTTTTCTTATTTTTGATTTTATACATAATTTATCTACCCCCGAACATCGTGCGGGTACCATCTGGTAAATAATTATAAACATATGCTTCGTAAAATGTACCTAAAACATTTATGTGCTAAAATGAACAACGAACAACCCCCCCTCCAATGGAGGAGTAACTTTATGAGTTCAGCACGAGAAATCCACCTAGTGACAGCATTCTTGAGCTCGTTCAATGGCTCGTAGTACCTACTAGCGCATTTATGGCGAATTCCATATGAAGTTATAGGTGCGCCTTTCGACTCCTTCTACACCAATCACTGATTTTTCTCTTGCAAAGTAAGCTTGCATCAAGGGCCTGACACGCAACTCAGGTAGAGAGGCCTAGCATAGCAGCTCAGGGACGGGCGAACTATAGGTTCTGCACTCATGTCCCTCAGTGGATTTCTCGTGCTCCTCACTAGCTGTATGGGTGGGTTGTCCCTCGTTGCTGCACTCTAAGGGCTGTTTCGTCAAGTAAAGGAAACTCAATGGAATTCAAATGGCTATTCCTCACAATTGCTCCTTGTTATGCAACAATGGAATTTGAATAGTTATTTCTCACAATTGCTCCTTGTGATGCAACAAAATCCACATGATATCTCTATCATAAGTAGAACCTACATGTGGTTTAGAAGGCGTTTTCCGATCAGCGGTCCCTCCGAGGCTTTCGATTTTGTATCTCGTTTGGGTCTTGCATGTTATCACATTGATACCGAATATTCCATTCTGAGAAAGAAAATCTTATTTTACGGGGAGTTGGATGGGATCCAAACAAAACATCGTTGTGTGTGGAAGAGAAAAAATGCCAAACAATAGAGGGACAAATGTTATGACCATGTGAAATCTCTTTTTATAAAAAAACTGTGATATTTATTTGGACAACATTTGATTTTCTACGGTGGTCCAACAGTGGTGTGGTGGCGGCCGACGATGGTTGGGGCGGTGGTCCGGCGGTGGTGGAGGTGGTCCGATGGTGGTAGATGAAAATTTGTATAAAAATAATTTTTAAGTTAAATTTTGAAATGTAATATGAAAAATTGTTTGTATAGTTATTTATTTTGTATTGAGATTTGTATCTGAGAGGCGAGTAAAATGTTTTTTAGTTTTTATTTTATAAAAAAATTAGATGGTCCAAACGAGAATCGAATCGTCGACCTCCTGATAATAACCATCACTTATCCTAATCTCCTAATCACCCCGTCCAACTCTCCCACCCAACTGCGGTATTAAGTAAAAACTCATGATTATTACTTGAATCACTTATTCAAAAGAGGGGTTCCGCTGAATGTCCTATGCCCCAGATATGAAAAACAGGATGAGGATTGTTTACACTTGTTCTTTCAGTGTGAACCATTTCAGGCCCTCTGGGCAACTTATGATTCTTTGCTCCAATGTTTTGTAGCCTGGATTTAGACGCATCCGTCGCAAGAGAATCTTGATCTCTTCTTGATCATCATTTGGAGGATGTGACTAGAGAGGAATGACAAAATTTCGAGGAGTCAAAGTCATGACTCGACAATATCCTGGCGGAGCATCCACACGAAACTTGGTCTTCATTAAAAATTTCAATGCCGGTCTAGACATAAAAGGTCGGCAATGCAACCCTAACAAGCTAGGGATCCTTCCTAATCCTTAGTCATTTTCGATGGTTCATTCAGCCACCTCTCCAGGAAGGCAGCAAGCTCATGGAAAATCATCTCCCCTCATGAAATGATTATGCAATTCAGGGCAGTGGACCTCAATATGCGTTTTCCATCTCAATCAGAGGTAATGACGTGCCTTTTAGCTCTAAAAGAAGCTATATTTTTGTGTATTACTCGGGTTCAAGTCTACACGGATTGTAAAAATCTCACTACGGATTTACGGTCCGCCTTACTACCATCGGAAGCCCAAGAGGTCGTTTCTTTACTTATTGCAACTATTTTTTCTTTCCAATCTTGTACGCTGATTAAAGTGAATAGACAAGAAGTAGCAGAACTACATAACTTAGCATTCAATCAGATGCATTATAATAGTTCAAGTATCTTTCGTAACTAATATACATACAGGTACCGTTCTCGAAAAAAAAACATATAAAATCCAATTATAACTTGCATGTTTATATTCAGGTTAAGGGATGCTGTTTGATTTCGTCTTTGTACTTTGTAACAAAAGGAACTTCATTCCGTATTTTTTTTAATATTTAGTGGCTCACTGTTAGTCGATTTATTCTGTTTGAGTCAGTGCAATTCACAATGAATAATGATTATTGCAGGGAAAATTTGCAAAAAAAATATGAAGGGAATGAATTATAATCATCCATGTTTAAAATTTACATTTATGAATTTATAGTTAAGATTTAGACAAATCATTCCATGTTAAATTTTTTTTTACATGTATGGCTACTCAAAATATGATGTTTTGTCGGGAATCATCCAGTTGACTTACACCCAGATAATGATTTTTATGCCTACTTGGTGTGATGTGATCAGCCGTTTAAAGGACTAAAAAGTAAACAAAAATTAAACATCGAGCATAGAATTTGACATTATGGAAACATTGTAACTGAATCAACGCGGTTTCAAACCCTTAAGGACTCATTTTTTACAATTACTGTTCATTTGCAATTTCGAAATAATTTGGGGGTATAAATTGCAAAACAATCCTCGACCTAATAATACTCTCCCTCTTTCCATAACTACGCATCTCCATAACCTAACAGATATTTTCCTCAGTACGGTTTCTCTCTGCGTTAGCAATGGCGAATACGGAGGTTGAAGCGGTTGATTTTGAGCCGGAGGATGACGATTTGATGGACGAGGATGTTGACGGAGGTTCGCCCAGGGCACCAATCCCTAAGCTCAAGTCTGCCATTACTGGCGGCTCTTCTTTCTCCGCCCCAAAGAAAACCAAAGGCCGCGGCTTCCGCGAAGAGGCTACCACTGCGGAGGCGGAGCGTAATGCCCGCATGTCCGGTCGATTTGACTCGCTTGACTCTGAAGACGGCCCTGGCGCCGAACGATGTTAGTGCTACTTTTTCCATATCTCCTTCTCTTTCCTTACCTGATAATTTAGGGGAATTTTGTAGTTTAATATGTGCTTTAGAGGTTTTCCCCTCCTTTTTTTTTTCTGTAGAAATTAGTTAAAGAACTTTATTAATCTGGATGCCTAGGGTTTTCCCGTTTTTCTTGTTTTCTTTATTTGTCCTTTTCAATTATGGGACTTTTGATTTCTACATGTTGGCGTGCTAAGGCTCGGTTGTTTGCTTCTTTGGTTATGAAGACACTCTTTTTACATTTAATAACCTGAAAATGTAGGCGAAAAAATGCCACTTGTGGTATTCCAATGTAATTTCATGTAATATTTATAAGAATTTACGGATATTCAATTAATTGTTCCAAAGAGTTTCTTCAGTTACCTGAAGCAGATGTTATTTTTAAAAAAATTGGTGGCCGACTTAGTGTCTGGGCTTTGGGTTTCTCTTTGCAGCTGTAGAAGTATTCCTACTAAAGAATCGATAATCTCAATTGCGCTGGGTTCTAGGTTATGGCGATTACTGGTTCAGAATGAGTTTCTAGTATTAGATTAGGAGTTTTAGCATGTGTGCTTGTATGTGCAGGTTTCTTGGCACCTGTGTGTATCTCAGTAAGATCTAAAGGTTACATTTCATGTCTGGTCTCTTTATGAAACAACATCATCACATTCCTAGTCTAATTTTTAACCTTCCCGACGGCCTTTACAAACCTGTTCTAATTGAGATGTATAAAATACAAAATGAATTTCTCCAATTTTTTTTTTGTGATAGTCGAAGAAATGGAAAATGGAGATTGGGGATGAACTTTTTCCTTTGGGCTTTGCTTTTTAGTGGTTTTCTGCTTTCAGTTCTTACTTGGTGTGGTATAATGTCTTTTTAATATGAAGCTATGGGAAAGTTTAAAGGAACTGTGTTTGATTTTCCGTCTTTGTGGAGAACTCAAGCTGTTCTCTGGTTGAGTTATTAGTTGGGAAAGAGAGAAAAGATATTGTCTCATGCTGTTTTGAGGTTGTAGTTTATTTCTCCTTCACCTCATAGTCAATGTAGCACGTGTTGTTGGTGATTTTTGGACAGCATGAAGGATATGTTTTAAGGCTAGATCTGCAGGTTTCAAACAGATAATGTTTATTTTGTATCTCCTCTCATTACTTCCCATTCTCAACATAGCGCTTACCTTACTTTTCTTGGGAGGTCTAGCTGAAGTGACTGCATGATATTCAATATAATAATTGGGGAGACTTCTGCCAGGTTTTTCCCCCCCTAAGGTTGTGAAGTTTGGTTGTTTTTCTAAATGAAATGTGTTCCAGGAACTCTTACATGCTGTCTTTATCATTAGGAGTGTTTTTTGGTCTTTCACATATCCATCAAAGTCATTAGTACTGGTTGGAAATGTCAGCATTTTCTCTTGCCTACGAATTTCAAGATATGGGTTCGGGTTATGTCATGGTCTGGATTCTACAGCAATTTCCTTGTCTCTGATTGGATATGACAGTTAAAAGTTCCAGGAACTGATTAAACCTTATTTTATCTTAAAAGGATGCAGTCTCCTGAAATAATTAGGCCTGAGAAAGAGTGATGGGCTGAATGATGAAATAGTTATGTTTTTATGGATTTTGGACTGTTGTCGATCTCAAATATGGTGTTGGCAGAAGTTGAATTTAACAGTGCCGTGACATATATTGTTTGTATACTCTTAAGCACGAGTAATAATTCTGTTCCCCTTTACCTGAAAAACATCGGGAGCTTTCTGGACATCAGAACATTTTTCATGATAGTCTTCTTGATAAAACTGAGATTTATTCTTAGCATATTTAGTTATGTTCTTTAGTTTGAAGCTTAGCTTTAAGAATCATTAGTTTTTCAATTTTTGTGATTCCTTAGTGGTGTTGGAGTCTTGAACCAAGGATATGTTTGGCTAATTTTGTTGAAATGATGCAGCTATTGAGGGATGGATTATTCTTGTTACTGGAGTTCATGAAGAGGCACAGGAAGATGATCTGCTCAACACATTTGGTGAGTTTGGAGAAATAAAAAGCTTGCATTTGAATCTCGATCGACGTACTGGCTTTGTGAAGGTAAGCTTAACCTTGTGAGTTCCTGAAATTAGTTGTAGATAGCTGCCTTTTTTTTTTTTTCCATATTATCTTTTGTCTAGCTAGTGGCACTGCTAGTGTAAATACTTCCATTTTCTTCACCACCACTATAACATGTCATTTGTGAGTTGTTATGATTTATATATGGGTTGACCTGAGCTATATTACCTGGAGGTTGTTAACTTCAAATTAGTCTTTTTAATTATTGCCTGTTTGGTCTTTCTATGTGCTAAGCCTTTTTTATTCGCCCCCTGTGTACATATTTCTAATGTAAGGCAATGGGGGAAACATTGTTCATTGGGGGTAAACATGTAGCTCTACAAAAACTTCACTTATATATAAAGTAGTTTCAAAATTTTATAACATTTTCACACCACACCTATAAAAATCAAACTCTGCACACGAGGGAGGTGTTTCGGAACAAGTATTACAGTTCTCATGGACGTTATAGTATGACTTCACTTGTCAACTTGTTCTATTTCGGAAACCTCGATTTTTTTGAGTGGTGGATTATTACTTTATGATTCTTCTTTCAATCTGTTTAATTTAATTTTTTAATTGGTACAATATGGTGAAGTGAGTGGTTTTATTTAATCAATAAATATTAAATGGTTGCTGTAGGGTTATGCGTTGATTGAATACGAGAACTTTGAAGAAGCTCAGGAAGCTATAAATAAAATGGATGGAAGTGAGTTGCTTCTCCAGTCGATACATGTTGACTGGGCATTCAGTAAGGGGCCATTTAAAAGGAGGAATATGAGGAGGAGGTATATTCTCACTTCATCCTTTTTCAGTTGTTTATGCTGTTGGTGTTAGAAGTTGAATGTAATGGCAAAGGAATGACTAAAGTAAAAGTGGCTGAGATCATATTGCTACCATTTTATGAATGCTGACATTTATTTACTGGAAAGTTTGTTATCTTCTGGGTGTAAGATTCTGCATCTTGCGTGCTATTATTTTTTCTGCAGTACATTGATTCCAAGTTATCATTTGAATTGAAGCATTCTGGTGCTATTATTTTTCCTGTAGTGCATTGTTTCCATGGTATCATTTGAACTGAAGCATTCTGAACTTTTCAACTGGCCTGCTCTACTCACTGATGTTTGTGACAAACTTACTATTTAAGGGACAAACTTGCTATTAACCTTAAATCAGTGAACTCATCATGGGACTCGGATGCTTTAGCTATGAGTGTTACAACAGAAATTAAACCTTTTTGCTCACGTTATGGGATGTCACTACGAACAATGTGCCATAATAGTGTTTTTTTAGACTTGTTCTCATTTACATGGAAACAATCACATCTTTTAGGAATATGCTGATTCTAATGATAAGATTTGAATTTGCAGATCTCCTCGTGGTCATCGTTCTCGAAGCCCCAGGAGAAGATTTTAATCATGCACACTTGATGCGCTTGCACATGGCGCAGAATTGCGAGACATTCTTAAATACTGGTTGTCTAATTTTGTGTATGATTTAACTGGAGTCATCGGTTTCGTTTTCTGCTTGCGCCTTCATCCCTAAAATATAGCTTTTGAGATTCTAGTCATCTATCAGCAATTTTATTTAGCTTGTGGGCAAGGTGGGAATGGCTTTCTTCAGCAATGTATGTGGTGTGGAGGTCTAGAGAAGTATGGTTGTTTTGGATGTCTAATTGTTTTATCATATTTTTTATCTTTCTTTTGCCACATAGTTTTTGCCGTGTACCGCTTGATCCTTCAGTCGCCTGTTTAATTATTGTCGTGTAAAAATTGGTATTATGGAACTTGGAAAAACTATCTGCCTTAAAAAGGTTGTCTGTTTCCCTTTTCTTGATCCAATCTCATATGTGAAGAGAAGGAAGCGGCCTCTTCCAAGGACACGGGATTATGAAAAAATTACCCTAATACGCTTCTGATGATTATGGTCCGAAAAAGTAAAATCCCCAGCTAGATTTGAGCTAGAGTCCACGTGGAAAGAAAAGGATTTGAAATGAAGTGATTATACTCCATTTAGGTTGCCACTTTGGTTTGTGTTGGGCAAAATACCGTTTTTCTAGTCACCCCACTGGCTCCGTGGTAACAAAAGAATCTCCATATCTACAAATGGAAAGTATATGTGCGTTTCATTTCCCAACCTTTCATGTATAAGATGGCAAGGTGTGATAATGTGAAAATCCAAAGTAACTTAGGTCTACCTGAGTTATTGCATATTAGATGAATAAAATGTTCAGTTGATTTCTTTTGCTGAAGTAGGAGAACACCGTGATTTCCGAGCAATTGTTTATATTTATTAAATATATAACTTTAACCCCTTTTAATGCAATGTTAACAGTTAGAAAAAATAAGATAAAATAGTATATTAGCGAGGGTTAAATTGTAGGAAGGTATTGTCTCACTCTAAAGCCAAACATGTAAAGCAACTAAAACCAAGACAACTTACTAAACTAAACCTTTATGAGATTTACGAAAGTATCTATCTATATATATATTAAAACAAAATGAGTCTTGCATGAGTGACGAGCAACTAAAAGCTTTCAAAATGTAATTAATTATTACCTCTCCGTATTAGCAATTTTTTAATTTTACTTAAGATTGAAAAAAAAATTCAACTAGATAGATTTGTAAAGTAAAGTAAAAGATAAAATTAGTTATCTAAGATTTTGTTTCAATTTTTTAAAATAGTGGTGGGGCTTATATGAATTATTTACAAGTGATGGTGCTGGAATTATATGATTATTATGTAGTGCTGTGCGGATAATTGTGATCAGTTTATATTCTTGATGTTTCCTTTTCTCCTCTTACTCCTAAGTTTCTTCATTCTTAGTCTTATGCTGTAAAATAAGGCTTACGGAAGCTTGTGATTTCACTCCCCTCCATTTAGTTCTCTTTAATCGTGGGATAGATTCTACGAGTGTTAATTGTGAAATTTTCGATCATCCCAATTTGTCCAAAGTTTTGAGATAAAAGTGTCTACTTATATGCATAATACATGCTTGTTAAAATGCCTCAGTGACTGACCAACTTCGATCGGATTTGGCCCTCATGGCCGGCGATCAAACCGCGGGGATCCCCACTGGACCCCCTCGAACCTTTGCAAGCCTTTTCCAAAAACCAATGAAATCACATACGCCTAAAAGCTCTCTGTTCAAGCAAGTGAAATTTATCAACGGAATGCCGGTCCTCGAATATAAAGATGATGAATTTGAGCAGCTCATTGCCCCTCATTGGCTAAGTTTGGTTAGAAAATTTTCTTACGGCAGAGCAAAGATAGACGAGGTGCATAAAGAATTTTGGAAAATAGGATTTGTGGGAAGCTATACAATAGGTTTGATGAATCCACATCATATCTTGATACGATTTGAAAAAGAAGAGGATTATCATTGCTGTTGGATCCAAACATTTTGGAACATAGCAGGATTTTCAAGAAAAATTCTGAAATGGTCTCCCGGATTTAAGTTTGAAGAAGAACCCCCAATTGTCCCTATATGGGTTTCCTTGTTTGATCTTCCGATAGAGTATCTGAATCTTGAAGTAATCTTGTCTATGGCTACGACAATTGAGAAACCCTTGAAAGTTGATGCTCCTACGTTGAATATGACTCGGCCTTCTGTTGTGTGTTTTTGTGTTGAAGTAGACTTGATGAAGGAGCTAAGTCAATCAAAATAGGGAAAAAAGGGCGCAAGCATGAGGAATTTTTCACCTATGAACATATTCCTTCTTATTGTTCAAAGTGCAGTAAAATTGGCCACAAAAATGATGAATGCAAACAAGGTAAGATGATTCATCCGCGTCACTTGAAGGAAAAAGAGAAACAAGTTGAGAAGAATGAGGTCCAGACTAAAGAGAAAGGCATCGTTTTGCAGCCTTTGAAATCCAAGTGGAAACCAAATATTGGTGCCAAGGAAACTACTGCTTCAAATTCGGGCTTAACTGATAAAGAAAAAGAATCAATTCCAGTTGAGCAGTCTGATAAAGACATAGGTGGAAAAAAAATGAAGCGAATATGCAAAAAATAACAGAGTCACAAGAAGCAAATAAAGACGGGACTGAAATTGTTGATGTTACAGATTCTCCAAACGAAATTCCAAAGGATCACTCGAATATAAATTGCAATGATAGGATTAAGGCTGCAAATGATGTAGGTCAGGATAGGACGGAGGATGAAAATAATCTAAAGCAACTAGCTCCTCGCAAAAAGATTGATGGGGAGCTACCAATGAAAGATGATCTAAACCAGCAAAACAACAAAAATTGTTGTTGAACCGGCGATAACAAATAACTTCCAGGTTTTACATGAAGATGTGATTGAGAAGAATGCCAATGAGTCTATGTGTAACGAAGATGATTCAAAAGATGGCTTAATAGTAGTTGGAATGACAGGCACTCCGAAACAAGTAGATGCGAAAATGAAACTCATGATAGAAAATACAGCAAATTTTGAAAAAATCCTGGCTCAAGTTGCAAAGGGAGGAATCTGAATTTATCTCTACTCATAAACAAAGGAGGAAGCCTAGTGCCAATGCAAATCCGAAAGTACGTTGCTCAGAAAAAACAAATTTCTATTCATCGTAATCCTTTAAAGTATTTCAATTAGTTTTTTTTAAATATTTATTTGATGTATTGTAAAAGGTGATAAGTCCTATGCACTGCCACTTTCCTTTTCTTTATTTCCACATAAATAAAAGGAGTACTATACCTGCAAAAAAAAAAATTGTGATCAGTTTTTTAACTGACGTAGGGCACTTTCTGTTATTTTTTTGATAGAAAAAATGTCGTTCCTACCCAAAGCTTTGCCCTCGTCGTCAATCATATCCAATAGATTTTTGGTTAGCCAATTTAACCTTAATGTTTGAAATTTTCGCCAATTTCATCCAATCGGCCCATTTTCCGTCCAAATTAACGGATTTCCGTTAGTTTTTTAATAAAATAATAAATTTAATTACAAAAACACCCCAATAATTTTTTAAAATTTTAAAAATAACCTCTAAAATATATGAAAATAACAAAACAGTCCCTTTCACTTTTTTATTTTATTTTTCTCTATTTTGTTCCATTTCTCTCAACTACTTTTAATGACCATAAAAATCTATGATATGAGTTTTAAAAAATTTTTTATTTATTTTCAAACTCTACCGTAAAAATTAATCTTTGTATAATTGTAACCCATGATTGTATTTATTTAAGCATGTTAATTTTTTAATAATATAGTTTAGCAATAAAGACACTATTTTTATGATTTATTTTATTCTTCCTAACATAAAGATTAAAAATATTTAAATGAAACTAATATTCCACATAAAAATAAAATATTAGCTCAAATAAAAAAATATTAATATATTTTAGTGTATTACAATTTAACTCAAGAGACCATAACTTGCATTAATATAATTCATAAAAAAATAAAGAAAGCATAAAATAATTAAGACACTATTTTTCTGATTTATTTTATTCTTCCTAACATAAAGATTAAAAATATTTAAATGAAACTAATATTCCACATAAAAATAAAATATTAGCTTAAATAAAAAATATTAATATATTTTAGTGTATTATAATTTAACTCAAGAGACTATAACTTGCATTAATATAATTCATAAAAAATAACTAAAATATAAAATAATTAAAGCCTTAAAAAAATCCTCCAAACATAAGCTTTCATTCTTGAATCTAAAACCTATTTTCTATCACAACAACTTATCACCATATTGTTACCTCTATTCATTTATTTTAAACTAAAATCATATAGAATAAGCTAGTAAGACAACCTCTATAGTTAGATATATTAACATCTCAAATAATTATTAAAAAATATTAAATCCTCACATTGATAAGTATAAACATATTTTTTATAAATTATATTATGCCATGTAGTCTCTCTAGTTAAATTTTAAACACTAAACTACACTAATATAATATTTTTTATTTGAGCTAATATTTTATTTTTATGTGGAATGTTTGTTTCATTTAAATGTTTTTAATATTTATGTTAGGAAGAATAAAATAAATCAGAAAAATAGTGTCTTTATTGCTAAATTATATTATTAAAAAGATTAAGATGCTTATATAAATACAATCATGTGTTACAACTATACAAATATAAACTTTTATGGTAGAGTTTAAAAATAAATAAATATTTTTTTAAAACTCATATAATATACTTTTATGGTCATTAAAAGTAGTTGAGAGAAATGAAACCAAATAGAGAAAAATGAAATAAAAAAGTGAAAAGGGACAATTTTGTTATTTTTATATATTTTAAGGGTTATTTTTAAAATTTTTACAAACTATTGGGGTATTTTTGTATTTAAATTTATTATTTTATTAAAAAACTAACGGAGATCCGTTAATTTGGACGAAAAAATAGGCCAATTGGACGAAAATGGCGAAAATTTCAAACATTAGGGTAAAGTTGGCTAACTAAAAATCTATTGGGTATGATTGACGACGAGGGCAAAGCTTTGGGTAGGAACGACATTTTTTCCTTTTCTTGATGCATGGTTAATTTTTTCTATTGATTTTTATTTCACCAATTTTTAGTTGTAACTGTAACATAGGATAATTTGAATTTTGTTTGGTTAAAATATTTGTATAAGTTACGAGCTCTAATTCAAACTTTAACAACACTATTTTGAAATTATTGTCTGAGGTTTCAACTTACTTTGGTTAGTTTAAATTTCTTTATTTTTTATATTAAAAAATGAATTTGAAAAAAAGGGACTAGATTTTACAATTCTTTTACAACACACAAAGACCTAATTTTACAATTTTCACAAGATTACTGGGATGGATAAATAACTTTTTACTTTTTACTAATTTGAAATTTATGTGCATTTAAATTTAAACTGTTGTGCGGGTAAATTTGGAGTGCTGGATGGTGATTTCAATTGAGGAGCTTTCTCCACATTAAGAATTTAGATGCTTTATTCATACTATAAACAATCCAATGCACTTTAAGTTTTCTGATATGATCGTGGATGCACCACTAAGTATTATACCAAAGCATGATGATCATTATGTTAATTTATGGTTGGGTTTAGTCTTTATTATGTGAGAATTATAGGTGATGGAAGATTGAAACCAAAATTAAAGGGATTTGAGGAAAGAGAGGATCACGATGACTATGTTGATCATATCTCCTAATTTTTAGGAGTTGAAGTTATCCCTATCACTTAGGAAACGATAATATTTGATATGATTCTCTTTTATCTACTTTTGAGTTTGTTTACAATAAGAATTCTATTCGTTGGTGTTTACTTTACAATGAAGATATTGATAAATGTTGGGTTTCTCCTCAAATTCCCAAGCCCATGAAGTGCGTATTGGGCCAATTAGAGTCCAATAGGGTTTAGGGTTTGTGTTAGAGTTCTAGTATAAATAGATGTGGCTTGTACTAGAATTATTTGGGAGGAAGGCAAGATGTAGCCACTTGAGAGAGCTTGTGAGGGGAGGAGAAAATAGGATTGAGTTGAGTTGAGAGTCCTCTTCTATTTTCTAACCATTGTAGATGGTGCTTTTACTTCCCAGAGCACATAGTAGGGTGAGCGCGGGAAACACTTTGTGAGAGTGTAAGGGGTAGAATCGAGTGAGAGAGACAGCGTGTATCGAGCGAGGCTTTACACTTTGTATACTCTTCTATTCTCATACTAGTAGATGTGTTACCGTTCCGTGGACGTAGATCTATGAGAGATCAAACCACGTAATGTTGTGTTGTGCTTCTAGATGTGTTTGCTTGGTTGTTTACTTTTGATCCGCTGCGTGTGTTGTTGAGTGAGTAAACTTCCAACAATTTATGTGTAGAGGGGATCAAAATCCCCAACAATAGAGTTGACAACTCAGGAAGATTTTTTTCAAGATAATTCTAATATTCTCTTAGAGAATTTTTTTTGTATTTGGAGTTTTACTTTCATTAGACTAGTGTGTTTTAAGTCTATAAAGGTGTTTTGATACATTGCCTTAATAGATAAGACACGAGTTGTCAGTTAGAGTTCAATTTGATTTCTAAGTAGGAATAGAGTTAGAGATCAAATTCTTCTCCTATTTCTTAGGAGAATTTTCAGCCACCCTCTACTATAAATAGGGGTGTTGACCAACTTTTGTAGAAGAGTGGTTTGATGAATTTTCATGATGGTTTGATAAGAAGGAGTGAAGATTTTTGTGAATCTTGAGTGATTAATTTTGTGCATAAACTTGAATTTGGTTTCTTGCAAACTGTGCGGCTACCCTTGTTTAAGATTTGGTGTTGCTCAACTTGGATGCTGAGTTCGTGGTATTTTTGGAACAAATCAATGCGTTTCCATCGCAAGATGAGAATTTCATTGACACGTTCTAATAGGGTTTCATCCCGAAAACCCTTCTTTCTCCCATTCTTCTTGTTTAACACATTTTTATAATTTCTATTCAATTCATCCTTAAATAAAAATATCTCTAGAGTCGTGGGTTGCCTTGGCGAGTTATAGGTGAAACAAGAGCAATTCTTGGTGCCGTAGTTTGATACAAACTTGCGTAGTTTGGAGTCATGCTCTTTTGGATCGAAAGATTCATATCATTTTCTATTTTTTTTCTTTAATATAAACCTTTGGAGTGATCATAGTACTTTAGATATTAGTTATAGTTTTATATTGGTTTGGATCAAGTGTTAGGGGTGTACAAGATTAGGGGTGTACACGATCAGGGGTGTTGCCATAGTTTTATATAGTTTTTGTTGCCATATTTAGATCAAATAATCAAATAAATTTCTATTAGGGGTTTGGCCGGTTTAAAGGTTTAAGTATCGGCTAAACCGAATTTTACAGTTTCAAATATCAAAGACCAAACCGGCCACTTCCTTCCACTAAGACTGAACCTGTCAAACTTTATTTTTGGTGAAGAATAATGGGCTAAAGGCTCAAATTAATTAAAAAAAAAACTGCTCTAACAATAGTGAACCAAAGGCCCAAGTTTGTAACACTTGAATTGTAAAAAAAGATGTGCTGGAGAAGTTTTGAACCAGAAACCTTTCGATTAACATACAAAGGAGTAAACCATCAGAACATCTTTATGTTGGTGATATGTATTGAAAGTAGAGAGTTATGTCAATACGGTGCGATTTGGTTTAAACTTGTCTCCAAATGCAAACCGCAACCGAACCGAATTCTATGGTTTGAGAATTATCGAACCGGACGACCGTCTTTCATATCACACAACCTGGTCAAACCGTTAAAAACGGTTCGGATCGGCTAGTTTCGGCCGAACCATGTTCAACCCTAATTGCTATATACCATT